CGCGCGCTGCTCCCCCCCCAGCCGCTGCTTCTCCACGTTGGCCTCGTCCCAGCGGCCGCTCTCCATCAGGCGCTGGTCGGGTCTCAGGCGGCTGTCCGTGGGGGCCACTCGCTCCTCGGGCTCGTTCAGGGTGAGGGCCAGGTCGGAGAAGAAATACATGTTCTCGGCGTTCTCCCTGCGGCCGGAGAGCCCTGATCAGGAGGGCGGAGGTGGTGCCTTACCTCGAGCAGAGCTCTCCAGCCCCTCACCTCCTCGCGTCTCACCCCAGCCCCACTGGTGCTGCTCCAGCTAACCCCAAACCAGACGTGTAGGGGTGCTCTGGGGAGCTCTGCCCTCTAGGTGGAGATGCCGATGACGCCTCAAGGGGTGTCTCAGAGGGGAGCAGACCCCTCCTCTGTTGGCTAAAAAGCTACGCCTACGAACTCCAAGCGCCGTACGGCACAGCCGAGATGCCAAACAGCTTCACCCGAGAGCTGCTGCATCCCCCACTGCCGAACTGGTGGCACCAAGCGGGGGACGCTTTCCACCGGGGACCGTTCCAACAGAGCGTCTCCAAAGCAAGGGCCGGCCATCAGCTGGAGAGCGGTTTGGTGTCTGAGAGCAGCCCCGTTGTGGGTAACGTGTCGAGAGAGGGCTGGTCCCTGGAGAGCTACAGTGACCGGTGGGACAGGATGGCCAGAGACTCACCAGCAAGGCGAAGCAGCCAACACACCTCCCCACCGCGGCCAGCAGCCCGAAAAACCTAACCAGTAACACCAGCTGCCCAAAACCTACCTGCAAGGGTGCCCCAAAGCCACCCTCCCCTGGCAGGGACCTGCTCTCCCCTCCTGCTGTGCGCTCACAACCCCAGAAAAAGCCCCCCAGCCGCCCAAGCCCTGGTCCCCATCCCGTGTCCTCGGGGCACAGGAGCCCCCTCCGTCCTGCGGGGCTCAGGGCAGCACCGGTAATCCCCGTCCGGCTGTTGCACCCCCCCGCAAGCACAGCACCCCGCGCCGAGGAGGGGACTCACGGGAGGGGGTACTTCTTCCACAGGACCTTTGGTGACAGCGTCTGGTAGACGGTTTTCTGCTTGCCCTCCGTGCTGGTGCTGCCGTGGCTGCTCTGCACTATCTTGGAGCACTCCATCTTCTCATCCCACGTGCCCGACATGACGTAGTGGGCTTTACCATCGGCGTCGCTCACCACCCCCGTCACCTGGCAGAAGGAGACGGCTCTGGTGGCGTTTGGAAGTGCCCCAAGGGACAGGGAGAGGAGCACAGGAGGCAGAAAACACCCTCCAGGTGCCCCAACCGGAGCAGCTGGACCTGGCGCTGCGTGTCCTCGGACACGAGCTGCGTCCAGCCCAGGGGGACTGTGGGGCCATCCCGACCATGCAGGTGGGTCTCCAGCCCTTCAAACCCCTTCCAGGTCTCAGTGCCGCAGCTCCAGCACACGGAAAGCCCAAACACAGGCTCTGCTTGGACGCGGCTGGTCCTCCCCCAGCCCTCCCCGGTGACCCACCTCAGAGGTGCCACCTCCTTGGCCCCACACCGGGGCTCATCCCAGCAGCGATACCGGGACCCCGTGAGCCTGGCTTAGAGGGAAGAGCCGGGTCTCACCCCGCGCGAAGGCTGCCAAAAGGAGCAAGGAGGTATCTGGCTACGTACCTTTCGGGGAACGTCCCTGGAGAAGTAGCTGTAGGGGGTAAATTTCAGCTGGCATTTATCTTTTGACTTATGGTTAACAATCTCTATTTCACCGGACTAGATGAAAGACACAGAACCACAGCGAGTGAGAGACTTTGCAAGGAGAAATCAGGCGTTAGTTGTAGTGCAGGTAACAAATCCCCCCCAGCCGCAGCATCGCTCCTGGCTGTAGCCACCGCGCTGGCCACCCCCACCAGCCCCACGGCTCGCCAGCAGCGGGGTGAAACCCACCCCACGCGCCACCCCCCTGCCCCACGGAGCTGCTGGGCTCGGGCAGAGCCACCAGGAGCTTCAAGAAGCCTCCCCCAGTCCCTGCCAGGGCAGCACACCTTCCTATCGCCACAGGAGTAGGGTGGGGACACCAGGCAGCGCTGGCGTACACCGCAGGAGGGCAGAGCCCTTCCAGCCCCACTGCCCTTCCCCGGACCCGTAGGACCCATCACCACGGACCCGTAAGCCACCCACCTGGTCAATCCAGAGCTTGCCCACGATGATGTTGTGAACCGTGGAGGTGACTTTCCTCCAGACGTAGTGGTTCCCGCTGGAGTGAAACTCGAGGTGGATGGCGCCTGCGGAGAGAGGGGTGTCCCGAGCTCAGCGCGGGCAGAGGGCACGCTCCCCCGGCGCCAGCCCCGGCACCACACTCATCCTCGGAGCCAAGCCAGCCCCTCCGCCGGCATCTCCCATCATCAGTCCCCACCAGGGCTGGCTCTGGGTTCATCCCCCCACCCTTGCCGCACGCTCCGTGGTCTGCTGCAGTTAAGGGAGCTGCGACGCCTGCAGGGCCCTCTGCCCTCTTCCCACACCCCCCAAAAAGGGATAATTTTAAAATTGGGGGTTGGACTAGATGATCTCCAGAGGTCCCTTCCAACCCTGACCATTCTGTGATTCTGTACGAGCAGGTCAGAAACGTGCTGTCTGGTTGACTCTCAGCGTCAGGAGACCCAGCGGGCACCAGCGTAGCTCCGGGACCAGCCCCAGCCGTGCCGCCCAGCCCAGGGACAGGCAGAAAACAAATCAAACCTCGCAAGGAGGCAGCTGGTTGCAGCTGGCTGCCAGGGAGAGGGTTAAAACAGGCGGCAAGCTAACCTTTAAATACCATTTACGGGGAAACCAATTCATGGGCAGGCAGGATATCTCCCAAGCACATCCGCCACGGTGCCAGCAGGGAGCAAAGCAGTCCCCTTCTGCAGCCGGCATAATTCCCATTTCCAGGGCAGACGAATTATCACCGCCTTGTCTGCGATCGGCAGCACAAGTCTGCGCTCCCGCGTCGCTTGGGGTGGAATTCGCTGGGCCCTCCGTGAGCCCAAGGGACCGGCATGTTGCTTTAACCTCCCGGTATTGCCCGAGCAGCGCAGGAAAACAAGCAAGCCCCAGTCCCTGCGGCGTAAATCACCTACCCAGTGGCATGATGGAGAGGTATTTGCCCCTGAACTTGCTGGCGATGGTGATTTCCTGCCACAACGTCCACCCTCGCCTGGAGTAGACGTGATGGGCGGCTGCCGGGGGGTGGTGGCTCACCTGAGAGAGAGGAGGAACAGCCTGTAACGTCGCAGCCACCAGCACCGGCGAGCCCGGGCGAGTGCTGGCAGCGTGTCCCCTAGGAGAGGTAACAGCTCCACAGCAGCTTTGGCCCTGAGGATGCTCCTCCGCACTGAGCTGAACCCCCCAGTCATCTCCTGGGCACGGGGGTGACCTCCCATGAGGTACCCCGGCAGCACGCAGAGGTGTGCCGAGCTCCTGCCAGAATTCTCTAAGGCTCATTAGCAAAGCCTTATCCATAAAATCTTAACTTCAGCAACTACCGCTGCGAGACGACGCTGTACTGCGACCCCAGAACACATCCCCAGTGCTAAAAGCACCTCTGCACCCAGCAGGGGCTCCCACCGCTCTGCCTGGGAACCCCCGGGGGACACAGGTCCCCAAGTTGTCTGAGACAGGCGGACCTGCCCAGCCAAGCCTTCCGCTTTGTCCCTACGGACACACTGGGCTGGAAAAGCGGATAAGACATCCTCCATCCCGGGGATGACTTGTACGAGGCCGGTGCTCACGCTCCCCGGCACTGGAAAAGCTGCCCAAACCCCGGGGAGGGAGTGGGACATCCCAACCAGAGGGCTCTGCCCTCGCGCGGGGTCTCACCCAGCTCACCCACGGCGCTCCGGCACGGCACACGCCGCCCTTCACCGGGAACCAGCGAACCACCGGGCCCCGACAGCCGCGCCACCCGGTTCAGAGATTATTTGCGCAGCTGTAATTACAGGCTGAGCGCCCGGATTACAAACGTGAGCGGAGCAAAGACCTCTCCGTTAAATCCCACTGTCACCGGCAGGAGGAAATCCTATTTGGATAATTGGATTTCAGGCACAAGACTACCAACGCGGGGAAAGCTCGGGGCGGCGGGAGCGGCGCCCGTCTGTCCGTCCCACACTGCCCGCGCCAACCGCAGCACCAACCGCAGCACCAGGGCACCGGCAACGCTGCGCCGGCACAAAGCTGCGCTGTCGCCGAACGTGCCCTTTGAGACGGCTCCGGGAGGGAGATGTAGATGCTTCGCTCAGGGACCGAAGGCTCCCGAGTGCTGCAACGGAGCAGGATTGCTCCGAGTTACAGTAAACCGAATTTCGGATGAATCTCGCGTGCCGTGCCGGCCAGGGAGGGACTCAAGCGCCAGGCGGGAGCGCTGCGGGGGGGTTCAGCCCGGCTTGTGGCTCGGCTAACGTGGAGGTGTCAGAAATACCAAATTTGGATACAAATACAGGAAAAATCAGGACCAAACGGAAAAAAAGTAATTCAGGGCAGATGACTTATTTGGGAGGGGAGAGGGATGGAGGAAGGAGGGTGGAAGGAACGAGCGAAGGGATGGCGGGGTGTGGGAGTGATGCGGTCTGGCGGTACGCGCTGGGCAGCACTGGGCGTCATCACCGCAGCCCAAAATGGGGGTGATAAACCCAACCTGGTGTTCTGACCGTGCCCCGGGACGATGCGGGGTGCTGCTGGCCAAAGGGACGGACCGAGCATCCTGGTAAGGAACCATCCGCTCCCCGTAAGACTGGGCTGAGCGGGGCGACAGCCCAAGGAGACGGGGCACCGGGGAGGTGCTGGAGAACACAGGTCTCCGATTTCTCTCGGCGGTGCACAAAGGCAGCCGGGGAATTTGGCTGTGCGGCAGGATGGCGGGAATCACTGCCAGGAGAGGGGAGGTGAAGGTGCGATGTGGTGATGAACCTGAGCTCTACAATGTTCACAGCAAAGCGCCAGGGGATGCCCGGAGGGATGCTGTCCCCTCTGACCCATCTCCCGGGAGCAGGCAAAGCGCCGGGCACAGCAGGAAAGGGCGGCACGTTCGCAGCTGTACCTGTAGCCAGCATCCTGGCTCACTGCAGCCCAGGGCATGAGCTCCCAAGACTGGGACAGAGGTCCTGAACTGGGGTCGGGACAATCCCAGCACGGCTCCAGGCTGGGCGGGGAACGGCTGGAGAGCAGCCCTGAGGAGAAGGCCCTGGGGGTGTTGGGGGATGAGAAGCTCAACAGGACCCACCAACGTGCGCCGGCAGCCCAGCGAGCCCCCGGCACCCCGGGCTGCATCCCCAGCAGCGTGGCCAGCAGGGCGAGGGGGGACTGTGCCCCTCTGCCGCGCTCTGCTCTGGGGAGACCCCCCTGCAGTGCTGCCTCCACTCGGGGGGTCCCACCAGCAGAAGGAGACGGAGCTGTTGGAGCGGGGCCAGAGGAGGCCCCGGAGATGCTGGGAGGGCTGGAGCCCCTCTGCTGGGAGGACAGGCTGGGAGAGGTGGGGGGGTTCAGCCTGGAGAAGAGAAGGCCAAAAAGGGGAGACCTCAGAGCCCCTTCCAGTGCCTAAAGGGGCTCCAGGAGAGCTGGGGGGGGACTCTGGGTCAGGGAGGGGAGCCGTGGGACGAGGGGGAATGGTTTTAAACTGGAAGAGGGGAGATTGAGATGAGATATGATGAAGAAATTCTTCCCTGTGGGGGCGGTGAGCCCCTGGGGCAGGTTGCCCCGAGAAGCTGTGGCTGCCCCATCCCTGGAGGGGTTCAAGGCCAGGTTGGACGGGGCTTGGAGCAACCTGGGCTGGTGGGAGGTGGCCCTGCCCAGGGCAGGGGGGTGGAATGAGATGGTCTTCAGGGTCCCTTCCAACACAAACCATTCTATGGTTCTATGATATGGGCATTGCTGTGGGCGATCAAAGCTGGCTGACATTAGGCATGCAGCTTTGGATGGTGCAAAGGGACAGCAGAGACACGAATCTTGGGGAATACCTACTGAAACACCTCTCCTTTTGTCGTGAGCAATGGGTCACATTTCCAGGAGACCCCACACAGCTCGTTCACTGTCCCAGTGAAGCCAAGAGCAACGGGATGAGACGGGAGGTGCCGTCCTGCCAGGCTTGGGCACCTACTACCACGGAGGAGTTCTGTCTGCGCCTATGAGCCCTGCAAGGAGCCGATGGCAGAGCGTGACACCTGCTACAGCATTGGCTTCAAACCTGGGCCACGACTTGGAGAAGATGCTGACAGAGAGAAGTTAAACCACATCAGGAGGACAGAGGGGTGCTGGCACGAGCCTGAGCCTCCTCACTCCGTATTCCCAGTAAACCCCACCCGCATGTCCGCCATCTGCTGTGAGCACCGCGTAGCACAGCACAGCACGCCTGGATTCGCCGCAAGACCCTTTCTCCCATGCAAGGTCCCCCCAGAAAGCCCACAGGGCTCAGGGGCACAGTCTGCCGCACGGCCCTGCAGATGGTGGACCTGCATCAGCCTCCGCAGAGCGACAGAGGTTTGTGATTTGGTTCGATGTTTCCGAGCACCGAAAGACATGATGGTCGCTCTGCCCCCGAGGCGGCACAGCCACCCCCTGGGGAACACAGAGCCCCCACCAACGTGATGTCCTGCCTGCAAGGGGTGACAAATGGCCCCGTCCCTCCCCAGGACGCCAGGACGGATCAGCCAAGCGTGCTATATATTAAGCAGTCAATTTTCTTCACAGGTCGCAACTCATTAAGAGCTGCAGGTTTTTAATGAAGACCTGCTGGTTGACCGATGCGTGCCAGATGCGCTCTGTGGTTAGTGAGGGGCTGTCAGAGGTTCTCAGGTTGCCCCCAGCCTCAGAAACTTAGATTTTCAGTCCAACAAGAAAGAAACGAGACCCTGAGGCACCCTCTGGCCCAAAGAGACCCCGAACCAGGGAGGAAGCACAGCAAAGCTCGTGGGCATCACTGACACGGCTACGAGGGAGCTCGGGTGAGGAGAGCTTCTCCCTTCCTGCTCAAGTGTTGAGACGTAAGAGCAAGCCCAGCCCCAAGCAGGCTGCCAGGAGACCCAGCACGGTGATGGACACCTTTCTCCTGCCCTTCTTCTTCCCCACCTCCTGCTCTGGAACGCTGAGACGGGCACACTGTCCTCCTGCTTCTGAAAAACAGCTTGGGCTGTGCCCGCTACTGCTTCTGCCAACGCCAACGGGAATCTGCTGGCTGTCTCGGCCAGGAGGAAGGCTCAGTGCTAGGAGATGCCGGGTCTCCTTCAGGGAAGGGCTGCTTTGGCTGGGTACGAGCAGAGGGACAGCCGCGCAGAGCCCCTCCGCAGACCCCGGCTCACCTGCTCGCACAGGGAACGGAAGCCGAACTCCTCCAGCCGGTCGAGCTCATAGGTTTCCCCCAGCAGCGGGTTGAATGGCTTTGCGGTGCGGTGGACAGTCGTCGAGTAGGAAGACACGGAAAACGCAGCGACGAAGCACATCTGCTCCGTGGAGCTCTCGCACTTGACGGCTTTGTCCAGCAGGTCGTGGTACTCCAGGTCCTCCGTCAGCCTCTGCAGCATGGAGAGTGGCTCGTTGAAGTTTACCTGGAGGGGAACAAGCAGGGGTTAGGAGAGCAGGAGAGACGCCAAACTGGGCGCTTCGCTCTTTGCCTTCCCCCGCCCCGACCCCAGCACGGTGCCCTGCCAACCACCGGCATCCCACACCTTCGGCTCTCCGAGCACGGTGCCGCGCGCTCCGAGATGGAAACTGCGCCTAAGCGAAGCAGCAGCCCCACAGGGCAGCGGGGCTGGATGTGCCAAGGGACACAAACCTTAAATAAAGACAAGAAACACGCGCTCCGCTGTGCTCCCTCCACCGTACCACGAGAGCGTGAAGGCTCTGAAGTCCCCAGCTGAGAAGAGGTGTGCCATGGAGCCGGCAGCTCCACGAGCTAACCACATATCGTCCCAGGTATCACCTGCTCCGGCGATGGAGCACCGGTCACCCCTAAAATGAGCATCAGCAGCGAGACCAGGTCCCTCCTGCCTCCCGGCCAGCATCCCACCGGCCACGAGCAAGAGGCGACGCGAGGCAGAGAGGAGCTGCTCCGTCACCTCCCGGCAAAGCCATCCCCACGCCGGGCTGCAGCTCACTTGCTCGGAAAACCTCGAAAAGCCCCATTTCGGGGTCTCCCTGCTCCTGGGGCTGCAGCCCCAACGACAGCACCCGAACTGCACGTGCGAGCGGCGATGCTCCGCGGGGCGCAGAGCGGAGGGGAAGCTCTGTCCTGGAAGAGCCCGAAGGGGTGGTATTTCCAGCCCCAAGTCATTGCTTTGCCAATTAGAAAATTTTGCCATCTGTTGCCATGTTGGACCGGCTGCAAACACCTCTGGGCAAAAAGCAAACAGTTGATTTCAGCAGTATTTTTTGTTCTGAAAAGCATCGAAATCAAAATCAAAATTGAAAGGAAGACGGAGACGCTTTGTCTCAGAAGGTCTTTTGCCTCAAAACCACGTGAAATTCACTTTTTACTTTCAGTTCAGAGCAAAGAAATATATTTTAGAAGGAGCAGGTGGCTGAAGGATGGGAGAACCGCTTTTAAAAGCCAAGTTACATATTTCAGACTAAAGCAAACAAACTCCAGATCGTTCCACTCGGGGATTTAAGCAGCATCCAAGGCAGAGCGAGCTGTGTAGACAGGGCAGCGTCACATCCACACAAAAAAAAGCGAACCACTGCTGGTTGAGATAGCTCTCGGGAGGGACGCAAGCGGCACGAGAACAAAGCCGGCAGCTGCGTCCTCTCCACCGGCACCGCTCGGGCAACGGCAAAGCAAAGGGCAGAAGATGAACGCACCCGAAACGCAAAAATCCCAAAAGCTGTTTTCTTCCTTTTCAATGCTGCAGATTTGTTCGTTTCGAGGAAAAATTAAGGAGCGGTTTTGCATTTTATCAATCACATTCCCCGGGAAGGGGATGGGGCCTCAGATATGCTCTGAATTTGCCAAGAACGGGGTGAAACACACGGAAGGAGAAACTCCCGCCACTCGGTGCGCCCAACAGGCTCATCGACGCTTTGTACTATAAATGAACCAGGTTTCCGAAAGAGCCTTCCCCGAGCTGGCTGCTCCGCTTCCCTCTCCTCCTCCTTCGCTCCGTTTATCGTGACGGCAGCTGGAAAGCCCTCACTGGGCAGCTCCGTCTCGATTCCCAGCGCTGCCGGCTCCTCCCGCGGCACTCCACGCGCACGGGCCACGGGGAGAGAACCCCAACGGCCATCGAAAGGAGATCAAACCGCCTCCTGTTGCCTGACCACCGGCTGCTTCTTCTCGGGGTGAACCTCCCCAAGAAATGCCCCGTGCGGCTGAGCTTGTGGGGTGCAGAGCATCTCTGTATCGCACAGATACCCCGAGAGGAGCTGACAGCGAGCGGCTGACGCCGGGCTGAGCCTTTTCTTTACTCTGTTGAATGGTTTACAGAGACAGCACCGCTGGGAAAGCAGATCTGCTCGCTCCAGGGAGGGGACGGAGTAATTACACCGCCCCAGCCGGCGTCTGGGGCCGCTGTGCGAGGAGAACATACTGCTCTCGGGTTTGGACTCGGCTTTTGCAGCTCCCGGCATGATTGGATTGATAGGGAAGGTATAAATTTCCTCTCGCCAGGCAGAGAGGAAATTTCCTCTCTGGTATAAATTTCCTCTCGGCAGCTGCTGGTATTTCACGTCCTGAGCTTATTTCTGTACCCATCACGCCTTTATCGGATATTGATGTCGCTGCAGAAATGCTAATGGACGGCGCTGGGCTGTATAACTCGGCTGGAAATAGCACAAAGAAGAAACAAACTCATCCCTCTCACTCGGAGAATGGCAGGCACTGCTCTAAGAAGAGACGAAATCCAAGCAATTCAGCACCCAAGCCCCTGGAGCACGCTCCTTCCCCTTTACACAGCAAAGGAAAGACCTCGAACACAGCTCCAGGGCCACCGCTCATGCCAGAGCAGGGGCACCTCCAGCAGCGGCACAGGACGGCGTCCAGGCGGGTTTGGGATGGCTCCAGAGGGGGAGACTCCCCCACCTCTCTGGGCAGCCTGTG